ATGTTCATAGTCTTCCTCTCAAGAGATTGCATAATGCTGAATTTTCATGAACTGCAATGTTTTTGGTTTTATGTCAGTGTTTTATGATACATTATATACAGTATTATATTTGTTTTAACTGTATAAATTTGCAGTTTAAATAATATTCATGAAAAATGTAATGAAATTAAAACAATTATAAATCATTATTCAGCAAAAAAAGAATAGAATAAATAAAAGCACAAGTTGTTGGAAAGTATGTATAAGGTGTCAATTATAAGTAAGTACTGTGTTAAAGCTTATAATAGCACCAATTGAATCAACACAAACAACATTTCTGAGGAAAAATATTAATTATAAGTAAGCTTACACTTATTCTAAGTTAGATCCACTATTGTATGCTGTTGCCGTATGGCAACATATCATAAAGTACCTTAAAATAATATTTTTTTCAAAAATTTTTTTTACAGCACTTCAAGTTAAGCCATTCTTAGAAAAGAAAAAGATTCAAATATTTTTTTCTATAGGTCTATCATAATGCGTGCGGTAGGGATAGTTCACCCAAAAATGAAAATTTGATGTTTATCTGTTTACCCCCAGGGCATCCAAGATGTAGGTGACTTTGTTTCTACAGTAGGACACAAACGAAGATTTTTAACTCGAACCATTGCAGTCTGTGCAATGTTATTGTGAATGCTTCATCCATGTCTTTGTTTATTATTATTATTATTATTTTTTATTTTTTTTTTGGACCTCAAATTAATCAAAATGTCCTAACTGGATCTTCCAGTGAGACGACAGACTTCTCTCTGGTGAACTCCAGTCATCTAGTCCATTTAATCCTAGCCCCTATGTTTCATGATATGATTCATCATGACCGCAAGCGCAGAATGGTTCAATTGACCAATCAGAATGAAGTTTTCCCAAGAATACTGATAATGGTAATAATGATCCATGTTGTTAGCATGTATGTTAACTTCCAAAATAATAGTCGCAACAGGTGATGCGAAGAGGATTAGTAGTATATCAGTTATTAGCTTTCTTTGCTCTTGTATGTTTTTCTTTTTGTAAACATGGCCAGGAACTGAATCTAGTTTTATGATGGGTCCATGCAGGTAAAGGGCTATTAGCAGGACCACGCTTCACTGAGCAATGAGACAGAAATGTATCTTAGCATAACAATGAAGCTAATACCTGTGTGGCCACAGGCTGCAGTGAGCTTTGGCTATGAGCACATTCTGTTCTCTCCCAGTGGGCTCATCTGACCCTTAATGAACCTGCACACTGAGAAGTGTTTTTTAGTATGCATTTTGTTCTTCTGGACACGAGATGGAAGATTACCTATAAAGAAACACAAGTTGCTACAGATTAATTTGGGGTTTCCGAACAAACTATAAAAGAGAAATTTAATTTTTGTACTCTGCACTAATGATTAAAAATAATTTTTGTTAATTGAAATAAAGCTGATGTAAGATCTGATAAGTAGTGAAATCACTAAACTAAAACTGAAATAAAATTAAAACTAAATAGTAATAAAGAATCTAATAAAAATTGACATGCACGCAAAATGACTAAAACTTAAAATGAAAACTTCTACTTCAAAATATGATTAAATACTGTGATAGTATATTAATAGTAAAATTATCACTTTTTGGAGAATTATTTTTTACTCATACAAAATGCTAGAATAGCTCTATAATAATCATTGGTAGCAGTGCCAGCTAATTCTTTCGCTGCTTATGGTATATTATTTTTTTCCCATTAAACATCTCACAACAGCCACAGATTTCTATGTTTTTAAATCCGAAATAAGTTGGTTCAGTCAAGCAATACATTTTTTTAAATATATGTTTTTGGTGGAATTTTGTCGAAAGTATGTGGTTTTGTCTCAATCTTATCTTGCACTACTATTTTCAGTTGACAGTTATCCGTCCCTTTCTCAGAAGTGCAGTTGTGACACAACAACCAGTTTAACTGACTTTGGTGTTTGTCTAGAAATTGGATTCAGAGCCTTTTTCCAATTTGAATATTTAGTTTCAGGTGAAGCTCATGTCAAATTCATGTGTAAAAAAACCCAATGAATCATGATTGAAATCATAAATCATTTGTCCATCAATTGAGGTTTCATTTCGTAGCTTTTGCATCAAAAATGAGAATGGCACAGAAAACATGTTGACTTTCAACAAACAATGAGTGCTTGAAATTTGAATATCAAATCAGCCTGCAAATCAGCCAGGCAAAATTGATGATTCAAATAATATTAAAATATTGAGGGTCAGAATAAAAAGCTACTCCAAACACCCTCTCAAGTTTCAATCAAAAAATGTAAATGCAAAAATCAAACCTATACAAATATGATGAGAATGTGAGTGTACATATGTTTACTTCAGGCTTTGTCTGCTTACTATGTATCTCACGTTACCTTTACAGGATGTTTTCACAAACACATTGTATTTACAGTCATGTCTTTTATTGTGCGTTTTAGTGAGTGCTTTGGAAACTGTCACCAGCAAGTATGGAGACACCATTGAAATCCCATGCAACAACGGGCGTGTCGTGGAAGCAGAAGTCACATTTGTAAAATGGAAATATGTAAGTTTGAGGTTCACTCATTTTCTGTCATTTTAAAGTTGCGGTGTGTAATTTTTCCAGATTCTTAAAAAAAAGCAACTATTTCCGAACAGGTTTCCCTAATACTACTGCCATTTCACCCACTGCTATTGTTCAGACAAACTACTCCAATTCCTAGCTAAATTTATGCTGTTAGCTAAACAGTTTTGAAAGCACTAAAGATCCACCATGTTTACATCTGAACAGGAATGTCAGCATATGAATGGTGTACTTGTACCATTCTCTGTTAAACATTATTTTTTTGCTCACTAGGACAAAGATGGCAACATACTGGTGAAACATCGGGATCAGAATGCCACTGTTTCCAACGATGTGAACTACAAGAACAGAGTCAGTATTAAAGATTTCAGCCTCGTCATCACACAAGTGGCCATGGCCGATCAGAGAACCTTCACCTGCATGGTGGTGGTAGAAGAAGACATTTTGGAGTATCCTGTTCAACTGGCCATTTACAGTGAGTATCATACACAGTAGCACTGACCAAAAATCTAGAATGTTTTAATATTTATAAAGACAATAATTCTAATAACAGTACTTAAACAGTACAGTATTTTTCCTATTTATTACTGTAAAGCTGCTTTGACGCAATCTGTATTGTTAAATATATAAATAAAGATGACTTGACTGGACTGAAAATTATTATATTGGATGCATTTATGAACTACCGTGTCCAACAAATGTTCCTTTTATTTTCAGAGGTTCCATCACAACCTCAGATTACAAACCTAACGACTGTGATGGCAATCGGCAAACCAACTACGGTAGGTTGTGTAATCAAGTCCACAGATTATAAAATAGTTTATTTATGGTTTATATATCACATACACATACAGCAAGAATATGCATTAAAAACTCAATTAGAACTCAAATATATTAACTTCTTACAATCTGAACCATAAATTATGAAATGCAGTGCTTTGGAATTCCTCTCTTAAAGGGGTCATATGATGCGATTTCAAGTTTTCCTTTCTCTTTGGAGTGTTACGAGCTCTTGGTGCATAAAGAAGATCTGTAAAGTTGCAAAGACTAAAGTCTCAAATCCAAAGAGATATTCTTTATAAAAGTTAAGAGTCAACCACGCCCTCCTAAAACGGCTCATTCTAACACGCCCCCACATGTCTACGTCACTATGTGGAAATATTAGCATAATGCCGCCCAAATGTGCACGCAAAGAAAGAAGGCGTGGTTTCAGGAACAGCAGTAGTGTTGATGCAGCCATGTCAGGGAGACGCTGTGTATTTCAGTGCGAAAGCAAAAGCACTTTATTTGGCCTTCCGGAAGTAGATGCAATTAGGAATCTTTGGTTAAGATTTATTTACAACAGAACAGCACAACCCAGATGTTCGAATTTGTGCAACGCATTTTATGGACGACAGTTTTTTGAACCTAGAAGAGTACAAGGCTGGCTATGCACAAAGGCTATTTCTAAAAAAAAAAAAAAGGTAAATTCCGACTTTGCTATGACAATCTGGCGCTTCTGAATCAGCGACTG